TTTTTTTTTTTTGCATCGTAAGCAACACGGATTGTTGAATAATGAGCTTTTGCATTACAGCTATTTTTAGGACGAGCTACCTCTCTCTCTCTCTCCGTTTTAAAATAACTTTCCAGCTTTTCTTAATAAAAAAAGAAGTTGATTTCCTGGGGCGAACAGCTGTTCTGTGCAGAGAGGCCCATGGTTGTGGGTTCCATTCGCGTGCTCCTAGGTCACAGTGACGTGAACACATTGGCCATTCCAGAATGCACTGGAATTGAGAAATAATTGGATCCCTTCCCCAACCTGAGCCGAATACCCAAGGCTTTTCCTTGCTGAATTGGAAAGAGCCTCAGTTTCCCCAAGTGAGAACTGGGGTGATCTAAATAGCCTCAAAATTCCCTCTGTTTCTTTTGTTTTATGTTCCAAGAAGGCCCCTCGCGGAGGCCAGTTTCCCACAGAACTAGCAAGGTCGTGGGATGTGCTCCACGCTCCTTCTCCAGCCCTGAGTTCATTTCAACTCTCGGATCCGTGTCTCTACCTCCTCGGTGGTCCCCATGCTTGGGGGACGTTAGCAAGAGTAGTTCACCCTGACTGATAGCTTGGCACCTGCCCGTCACTGTGACCCTTATCAATCTCCATTTTGTAGTGAGCAAACGGAGGCACAGAGACGTTAAGTAACCTGCACAAGGTTACACGGAGGCTAAGTGAGAGAGTCAGACTTTGCACCCAGCCCTGCCTGACACCAAGTGCATGCTTCTTACTCTTCTCTACACTGTGGAATGAAAAGGTTGGATTCAAGAATCCTTAAGGTTTCTTTTAGTTGTGAGCTTCTGTGGTCGGAGACTTACGCTTGAAAGATCGAGGGGGGTGAGGAGGGGGGGAAGGTAGAAACAACAAGGAAATTAAGTCAGGGTTCCATGAAGACTGGGACAGCAGGCCCTTTCCTGTCTCTACTCTCTTTTTCCTGCCTTCCAAAGAAGTCTTAGCCGTCTTATCTTTGACTTGCACATGTGGGGTTTTGAGGGTAAGCAGGTAGGGTAGCCAGACGTAGTGAGGAAGGTTGCTCTGCCTTTAATAAGGGAAGGACAGGGGTAGTGACATCGCTTCTTCGGATATCTGGAAAGTCTTTTGATATGCCTTGATCTTGTCCTTCTACAGGGGCTTTTCCCACCTCCCCAGTGAAGATAGTGATGAGGAAGACCACTGACCTGGGTGGGCAGGAGGCCTGGGCTCTCCCTGGTTCTGTCTCTCTTTAAAACCAGGGAAAGTCACTTGGCTTCCCTATGTCTATATCCCTTCTGTCCCAAGGTAGAAGCAGTACTTGCCCTCCTGCCCGCCAGCAGCCTTTGGGCTACACATGGGAGGGGCTTGGGGGAGTCACAAGTGGACTCAGATATAGGGTGTCTCCAGTGTTTCTGTTACGCCTTGGCCCTCCCGCATCTGCGCTCGCGACACCTCAGATGGCACCCGGGACACCTCCTGGGTCTGCTCCAGTGGAGGAGGTCACTGTGGCAGAGCAAATAGGGCAGACATACTGGGGCCAGGCCAGTCTGGAGTGAGTCCAAGGGAAAGAAACGAGGGGGTCCATGCCCAACCTGTGGATGTACCTTGTGCGTCAAGATCAGGAGGCTGCGGCCTCTCCTCCCAACACTTTGGGGAGTGTCAGTGCAAAAACCTAAGAATAGTGAAGGGAGTAAAGGGTGGAACTCATGCAGGAATTTTGGCTCCTGCTGATTTATACCGGGCTTTGGAGTACTGAATTTTGCTGTCAGGAAGCAAAGAAGTCAGGAGCTGAGTTTTCACCCCCTCCTACCCTTCTCCTTCACTCTTCCCTTCCGGGTTTTCTGGACTGTGCCTGCTTTAGCCCATATTGCTGACTGCCTCTCTGAGTTGGGTGTTCTGGGTGCAGATTCAGCATGGTGGAGGAGTCAGGTCAGAGGAGTCAAACCCCAGGCAAGGCTATGAGGCCCCTCTCATAGCCCCTCTCCCTGCACAGGGTCTGGTCCATGGAAGAAGGCTCCTGGCCATACAGCTTTCCCTTTTCTGTGTTGTGTTGGGCATAGCAGAGTACATGATGAGCCTATACCAGGGCTGCAGGAAGTAACGTGCAGGAGGCCGGTCTGGGCTCTCAGAAGGATAGGAAAGCAACTCAGAGAGGCAGTCCAGCATCTTTTACAATTTCTTCTTATAATTTGAGATACACACACACACGCATACACACACACATGCACAGGATGGCAGGGGGAAGGTAGGCAAAGCCATTTCTATCTTCCTTTTATTTTTATTTAATTTACTTATTTTGAGAGAGAGAGAGAGAGAGCACGAGCATGGGAGGGGCAGAGAGAGAGGGAGACCGAGAATCCCAAGGAGGCTCCACGCTGTCAGCACAGAGCCTGAAGTGGGGCTCGAACTCACGAACCGTGAGATCATGACCTGAGCCGAAATCAAGAGTCAAACACTGACTCTTGATCCATTTCTTTAATCCATAATCCATTAGGTAGGGTTAGGTTTAGGCTCTGACTTCTTTATTTCTTTTGGAACGCATAAGCAATTACCTCAAGCCATTGGCTGAATAGTTGATCTTTCCCCTACTGATTTGAAATCATTGTCCTCTCTCATTTCAAAACTTCAGAATCTAAATGATTGAGGATAACCATAGCAAGTTTTTGGATGCAGTTCCTTAATTAACAAATGGAGATGCCAATATATTTTCTATCAACATAGAGGGTCGACGTCAAGCTGATAGGAGAAAATGGGGATGAATATTTTGGGAAAAGTTAAGAGCCCTTGCTTTTACGTGGACAAAACAATAAGAGCAATAAAAATAGGCATCATTTGGGGCACCTGGGTGGCTCAGTTGGTTGAGCGTCAGACTTTGGCTCAGGTCATGATCTCGCAGTTTGGGAGCTCAAGCCCTTTGCCGGGCTCTGTGCTGACAGCTCGGAGCCCGGAGCCTGCTTCGGATTCTGTGTCCTCCTCTCCCTCTGCTCCTCTCTCACTCATGCTCTGTTTGTCTCTTTCTCTCAAAATAAATAAATGAACGATTAAATAAATAAATAAACATAAAAAAGTAGGCATCGTTCTATTTCTCAAGGCCGTGAAGGTATCCATTCATTTGAAAAGCCGTTGGGATCCACTGGGACAAGTCTCAAACTCACAGTCACATCTGAGACATAAAGGTCAACAGTCTGCATGTTATGGGAGTTTGAGTTTGGGTTTTAGTACAAGAGAAGAGCCCATGTAGGGGAGGAAGTGAGAGAGTGGGCAACTATGGATGATGAAGTGTCAGTCTGGGCACCATTTGGTTCTGTGGAGTTCATGAGGACCCAAAGGCCACTGATCACCGTGAACTCCATGAGGGCGAATGGCCTGAGTCCAATCTTCCCTTAAGTCCAGATGCATAGCAGGGTCTGATAAATGCTTATTAAATTGAATTTAAATGACTTTTCCCAGTGAGGACTCTCTGGGAGAATCAGAGGAATATTGTGGGAGAGGAAATACCTCCCCTTTGCCACCCCTCCTCCAGAATATTCCCGAATTTCTGTATTCAGCTGCAAATGAAAGAAAATCTGATTAATCGTGGCTTAAAAAAGAAAAGGATATTATTTTTTTGGTTTCATTTAACATGAAGTCAGAGGCAGGCAGTCTGGGGCCGGTTCAGCACCCACGTCATCTAGAACCTGCTTTTTCTCGCCTCCCTCCTCTCCTCTCT